GGTACCTGAAGTGCTGCGCCCTTGAGCTGTGAGCTGGTGGCACACAGCTTGAGAACCAAATGCTACCCTCGGTGAAGGAGGGGATCCCCCAGTCACACTGCCCTGAGGTCCCCACTTCAGCCAGCAAAGCCTGGTGTTATGGTTTATGTCTGTGTGTCCCCCCAAAGCCTCATGCGGCCATGGGGCAGGCTTTTAGAGTTTAATTATGGGTGTGAGAGCTGCACCCCCCCTGGGGTGGATAGTTTGCATATGTAAGGGACAGGAAAAGAGTGCTTGAGGCCATTCCTCCCCCATTCTGCCCTGGTGTGTGCTTGTTGCTTTGCTGTGTTCTGCACCAGGAGCTGTAGCCCTCTGCCATGTGCCACTCTGCCTTATAATCTGCCAAGTACAGACTGAAACCTCCACAAACTGTAAGCGAAATAAACCTTTCCTTCCTTCATTTTGGGCGTCAGGTATTTTGTCCCAGCAACGAGAGAGAAAAGTAACCCAGACACCTGGCTGCCACCCACCCCCGGCAGGAGTTTTTAGAGATGGTGCCTAAGGTCAGGGTGGGACACGCAGGGTGGTGCCCTGGATGTGGGGAGCCTAGGTTGGAGCCCGTGTCCGAGTAGGCGATCTCCCACATTTACCCTCTCCTGCCAAGGGTTCTCCCTGGCAGCACCCACCAGAGTCTGGGGCCCCCAGAGCCCCTGTGCAAGTGAGCATGGGGCAGAGTGCTGAGGAAGCCCATTAGGTATGAGAGAGTTGTTAATTGCTGCTCAAAAATCCCTGAAACTCCTCCTCATCTCCAAGAGTGGGAATCACAGGAGTTGGAGAAAGGGCTGGGGTGTGCATTTACAAAACTCCTGGGGTGCTGAGGCCAAAGGGACCCAGTAAGACTTAATTGGAAAAGAAGCCCTAGCATGATTTTTCAGGGTGCTCATAATATAAGCCCTACCCCCAAAATAAGCCCCAGTTAAGACTGTCAGCCAGATGAATGTATTTAATATGTCCGCTGCAACACACGACTGACACTGAACTGTAAAAGAATAATATGTAATTAAAGATACATAAATAATGTTGATATTAATTCTTAAAATAAATGATAACATCAGTTATAATTAAGTATTTGTAAATACCCAAGCAGCTGCCTTTGGATGAGAGGTAAATGTTTATATAAACAGATGAACTCAAAGCCAGGCCTGGTGGCACACGCCTGTAAGCCTATAATCCTAGCACTTGGGAGACTCAGGCAGGCGGATGTCTTCGTTACTTTTCTCCTTCCTGAGACAAAATACCCAACACCCAAAGTTAAAAGGGTAAAGGTTTATTTAGCTCACAGTTTGTAGAGGTTTCAGTTCATAGTTGGCCGGCTCCAGGGCAGGGTGGCAGGGCAGAGGGGCATCATAGAGGAGAAAGAGTCCATAGCAGGCAGAAGACAGCAAAAGCAATAAACAAGGGGAAGACAAGCCTCTTTCTATTCCTTGTACTGAAGCCAGTCTACTGGGATTAGGGTAATGTCAGTCCAGTCAGTGGACTGATGTAGTAGTCACCCATCCTTAATCCCAGCACCCTTAATCCTAGCACCCTTGATCCTAGCACTGCACCATGAATCAATTCCAGCATCACATACTCTAGATCCAGCTACCTCTGAAAAGCCCCACTATAGCCACATGAGGCTTTGTGGGGACATCTGGACACAAACCGTAACAGAGGATTGCCATGAATTCAATGCCAGCCTGGGCTACATAGTGAGTTGTAGGCCATCCTGAACCACATAGCGAGCAAGACCCTGTCTCAAAAAAGAAAAAAAACCAAAGCCCACAAAAGGAGATGAACTTGAGACTTATTGCCAGATGACCAATCAGAGTACAGACACAATTTACAGATAATGAGCGCACTTATAATGAACGGATGTGGTTGTATTAATGTAAATCTTCATAATTCAATACGTGGAGTGTTGTGACAGACATACTTAATGCGCTTGTATGAAATGAACATTTTCTGAATTTTGATGCCTACAATTTTCCATCACTTTTGTATGGACTGTCATTCTTAACAGTCATCACTCCTGTTGCCACCCCTGTCTGGTAAGGCTTCAGTTAACACTTGATGTAATGGAAACTTTGCAAAGTTCAGCCTGCAAGAGGTCGTGATTTGGGTGAAGAATTCACGGGATAAAATGACTGACAGCTGTGTTGCCAGTGCACTACGAGCAGGACACAGACAAGTGCTCATTTAAGGACAGCTCTGTTGCCGGACATGAGATTGGGGCCATGAGATTGGTGCTACAGGAAATGGAGTTGCAAGAAATTCAGGCCAGAATCCAGGGTTTGGAGTTAGGATGATGTTCCAGAAGAAGACATGAGTGTATTTGAAAAAATGCAAGAAATTCAGGCCAGAATCCAGGGTTTGGAGTTAGGATGATGTTCCAGAAGAAGACATGAGTGTATTTGAAAAAATGCAAGAAATTCAGGCCAGAATCCAGGGTTTGGAGTTAGGATGATGTTCCAGAAGAAGACATGAGTGTATTTGAAAAAATGCAAGAAATTCAGGCCAGAATCCAGGGTTTGGAGTTAGGATGATGTTCCAGAAGAAGACATGAGTGTATTTGAAAAAATGTAGGTTTTTATACATGAATAAACATAGGTTGTTGTACAGGAAAAAAATAAGATTCCCTGAAAATAAGCCCTATTGCGTCTTAATATAAAGCCAGTCTTATTTTCAGGAAATTCCCTATTCACACCTGTGTGAGGGTTTCCCATCTCACCCCCAGGGACAAAATGGCCTGAGTAGGGTTTCCAGAGGCCTCTAGGGAATCTTTTTTCCAAACATCCTTACTCAAGGCTTTATTCTGTTCCACGTTAGAAACATTTTATTCATCCTGCTAACATTCTGGGCTACTAGAAATACCAAGTACAGTGCCCACTTCAATCCCAGAAGTCCCACCCGGCAGAGGGAGGCCAGCGACCACGTTGGGGATCAGCCCGAGGGTGGAGTTCTGGATCTCCCTGCCTGAGCCTCTCTGGCTTTGGGGAATTTTAACAAACCTGTGGCTGGATCTCACTGCCGGGGTTCCACAGGTCTATAGCAGGGCAGAGCGTGGATGGGCCTGGGGGTTGAAGGCTGAATGATCATCTCTGGTCTAGCAAGGTTTCCATCCCCTCTCCTGGTTCTGTGATTCCTTCCACACCCCATATGTTTGTTCACCTTTCAGGTCCCACTACAGGAGTCTAATTGTTTTTTGCTAGGCTGGGCTGGGAGAAACAGAGAAAGAAGAAATCTGGTTCTTCCTGTGAATTCTAGGTTGTTTTTGTTTGCTTGTTTTTTTGTTTTTTTGTTTTTTTTTTGAGACAGTCTCTCTCTCTATAGTCCAGGCTGGACTTGAACTCTTAGCGATTCTCCTGCCTCAGCCTCCTGAGTATGAATTCTAGGTTTAATTCTGGTCCTCTTTCTGTGTAAGCTCAGGTCAGTTTCTTTACCTTGCTGGGCCTGTGGCCGCTGTATGCCGAGGACAGTGGGTGTGCTCTTTGCCCCTCCAGTGCACTTGGGGGGGGTGCGTTTCCATCCTCCTGGAGACAGCAGGATCTGGCCCGGCTCTGCCATCCTTCGCCAGTCCCTGTTCCACTGATGGGGTGGCCATCCCTGTGCACCTACTTTCTGTGCTATTGTAAACTTCATGGAAAACACGAAGAAAAATATTTTGGAGTCCAGAGCATTCCACCCATGGCCTGTCACAGCCCAGTGCCTGGTCCCTCAGGCCTGCATTTGCCACGGATCTGACTTCTGGTCAGGACTCTGGCTCTGAGCCTGGCCTCCTTGTGCTTCAGCGATTTCCACAGAAATGCCGTTCCCAGGGAGGGGCACACACGCGAAGGGTGGGGGTGCCTGGCCCAAGTCCTGCTGCCTGCTGTGGTGAGCCATCTAGGCAGATGCGGGTTGACTGGTTGTGCTGCTATTTTAATTGCAGAAAGGTGCAGGGAAGGAAATGAAAATGTCCACAGCGCTTCCATCTGGTGATGTGTATCCTTCCATGTTTTTCCTCTCCTGTCTGTGATAAATAATGTAATATAGCATAGATAAGAACAGGGCTTTGTTTCTTTAGAAACTTTAAGCAAGCTGTGTGAACTTTTTTGTGTCTTTTAGTTTTCATATATGATGTCTTCAGTAGTTTTCTAAAATATACATTTGGGCCAGGGTTTGTAGTGCACACCTGTAGCACTGGGAAGGCTGAGGCAGAAGGATTGCTGTGCAGTTCAGGGCCATCCTGGGCTCAATAGTGACAATTTCTCAAAAACCACACCCCACTGAAGCCAGAGTCCTGACCAGAGGGAGCTATGATTGCTATAGAGTAAGTGAGCATATTGATGGGATATATTTGTTGTGATGTTTTGATATGTGTATATGTTGTGTAATGCTTAAAAAATTTTTAAGGATTATTGCATTATGTAGCTCTATCATAATTTGTATAGCTGGTGTCTTAAGGTCAGATATTTGGTTATTTCCAGTGCTTTCTTTTTGGGACGAGCTGCTTTTTTTTTTTTTTTTTTTTGAGAAAGGGTCTAGCTATGTATTTCAGGTTGGCCTTGAACTCACTATGTAGCGCAGGCTGGCATTAAACTCACAGCAGTTCTCCTGCCTCAGCTTCCCCAGTGCTGGGATTGTAGATGTGCACCCCCATACTAGGCTCTGTTTTCTGTTTTTTGATTTTGGTTTTTGTGGGTTTTTTTGTACCTGGAATTGAACTCATAACCTCACATCTGCCAGACAGGAGCTGTGTCACTGAGCTATAGCCCCGGCTGTTCTCTGTTTTTTGAGATGGTATTTTGCTGTGTTGCCCAGGCTGTCCTTAAACTCCTGGGCTCCAGCAATCCTCTTGCATCAGCCTCTTGAGTGCCAGAACGGTGCTGGGTGGTGCCTTTTTAGTAACATTATAATGATCTTTATTGTACTTGAGGAGCCCGTCTGGTAGGACTGAGGGTCTTTTGGACACAAACAACAACTCTTCCTTCTCTCTGCAGAACCCAGGACTTCCCCCACTGCACCCCGGATCACACAGGTGAGCTCGAATTCCTGCAGCAGGGTTGGGGCTGTTGCAGCTCGTTGTTAGAAGCTGGGCTGCCATTATACAGGAAGTGGTCCCGATCTCACATCTGCCTCCTGCTAGAAACAGCTGTGGGCGAGTGCCCTGTCCCTGCCAAGCCTCTGTGAGGGGTGGGGCAGGTCCTAGTCCCTGCGCTGTGAAGGGCCAGCGGCACTGCCTGGCACTCGGAACTGCCTGGGTCTGGTGGCTGTGGTTTTATCTCTGAGTCTCTTGGACACTGCTAGCGGCTTAGCACGAGACACGACCCAGTTTGTCTGAATCCTTCCCCTGTGGACTCTGGTATCATAATTGGCTGCAAAGAGGATTACTTCTGGAGCTGCTTAACAAATTCCCAGAGTAATCCAATTTCTTGTCCAGCTGTATCTCTTCCTGTGGTCCTCACTTCCCTTTGCCCTAAACTGGGAGGCTCAGCCACAGGCAGAGCGGGCAGCACAGGGAGGGAGCCCGGAGGCAGGATGATCCTGGCATCTTCTCAAGCCTCTGCCTGCGGGACCAGAGAGCCCCAGCACTGCCTAGGGTCTGCTACCCTGCCGCCCAGCTCAGGCCTGTGCGCTTGGTGTCCCTTGGTCCTCGTAGTGATCTGCAGGAAGCAGAACCAGGCTGTGTGGGCCGAGGAGTCTGCAGCAATCCCGTAGCTGGGGGTGGTGGAGCTGGGCTTCTGGGCCATGCTGTCCCCAAGGCGGTGGTGCCTGTCCCTGTCAGGACCGCTGTTGTGTGTCTGTTGCACACTTCCTGGGCAGGCTGAGCCTGGCAGCTTTTGGCAGAGATGTGGATGGGAAGAAAGCACTACGTTAAATTAAGTGGGGATTCAGATAGTATAAGTAACAGAGAAAAGCTTGGGGTGGCAAAGGCAGACGTCTTGGGTGGCCAGGCAGGGCTTGGAGGAAGAGGTGACCGCCTGAATCCACAGAAATGGGTCTAGACAGATCCCCTGTCTCCTAGGTGCCTAGTACTGATGAAGAGGGCAGCAATCACCATGTTTCTGCAATGGCAACAAACCTCCCAGGTAAGGGCTGGGTAGTTTTGTGTTCTGGTTTGCGAGAGGTTTTCTCTTATTCAGATAGTTGGCAGTGGATCGTGATGGAAGCAGATACATATTCTTCCTCAGTTGCTAAGTTGCCCAGGCAGGTCTCAAACTTGAAGTCTTCTTGCCTCAGCCTCAGGTGTGTACCAGCATGGCTGGCTCAGAATGGGCCTTGGCGGGTACGCCTCGGATGGCATCAGGCTGGTGGAAGGGCGGGTGTGGAGGAGGAAGGCCGGGTCTTCTCCATCTGCACTCACTTGCAAAGAGCATTGGTGGGCTGCTCAGATCTCGGGCAGCAGGCACGCTCCCCTCTCAGCAGGCCCTGTCGCTGTGCCTTGCAGCCTACCAGCAGGTCACCGCTTCTCTCCACTGTCATCTCCCATCCTGCAGGGTCTCAGCAGGAGCCAGCTGACCTGCTGACTTCTAGTCTGAGTCCCTAGCAGATCTTTTCTAACCAGCCCCCAGATGACCCTTAAGGCACAGATCCAAGCTCGCCCTGGCTCGACCGAGTCTCCTCAGAGTCTCGGTGGGATTTCTAACAGAGGGCCCCCAGTCTCTGGTCTGCTAGGCCTCCCTGCCCTTGGTGCGTGCTCCGGCTCGGGGCTGTGCTCCTGCCCCCTGTGCTGTCTGCATGCTCCTCCCCTGGCCATGTGGCCAGCTCCTTCCAGCACCGTGCCCAGCTGTGCCCTTCTCTCCTGACCGCTGCTTTTGACAGAACTCCCGTCCTCCGCTGTCACTGCGCTCCCTTCGGGTGGTTTGGTTTTCATCACTGCCCTGGTCGCATTCACTTATCACTGGTGATAACATCGTGTTATGTGTTTGCTTGTTTGTCCTCCTCACTTGATTACAGTGGAAAATCCAGGAGCTTTGCTTTGCACCTGGGGCTTAGAACAAAGCCTGGCACATCACAGGCACTCGGTAAATAGCTATGGGATGGAAGAAGGAAAGATGAGAAAAGCTGATAAAACGCTAATAAATGAGCAAGTGAACCTCCTGTTTCTGTCAAGGTGCAAGATGTACTGGAAAGATCTGTCCTTGGGCTGGGCATGGTGGTGTATGCTTGCCATCACAGCACTCAGGAGGCTGAGGCAGGAGGATTGCGTTGCGTTTGAAGCTAACTTGGGTACATAATGAGTTCAAGGCCAACCTGGACTATATAGCAGGACCTTGTCTCAAAAAAAAAAAAAAAAAAAAAAAATCTGTCCCTGGAGCCACAGATCACTTGCCAGTTGGGAGATGTGGCCATGCCTGCCCCCGAAGATGCCTGCAGTAAGGACTGAGAGGTGGAATCTGCACAACAGCGGGGCCAGCTGGGTAGAAAAGCCTGAATCCTGGGTCTATACAACTGTGCCTTTGTATATGTTTGTGTGTGTGTGCGTTTGTATGTGTGTATGTGTTACTGGGGATTGAACCCAGGGCCCACTGAGCTACTTCCCAGTGCTTTTGAATTTAAAAAAAATTTTTGATACAGTGTCTTGCTAAATTGCTAAATTACTCAGGATGAACTCAAATATGCCATCTTCTCACCTCAGCCTCCCAAAATGGTGGGATTAGGAGTGTGGGCCACCACACCAGGCTACAACTTCATCTTCAGCATCCCCAGCAGAAGGAGAGAAGGGTGGTTTTGGTTAGGAGACCCTCTGTCTTGTCGGAGGTCTCTGGAAGTTACAGGAAGGCCGTTCTGTGGGCAGACATGGCTGCTTGTGAAGCTGGATTTTTCCGTCATTCGCTTAGTGCAATTTTTCGAAGTCTGCCTTGCGCCAGGCACCCTGCGAGGGCAGGAGTGTCCCAGAGGGAAAGATGCTGTGCGCAGCCTGCTCTCCAGAGCCGGAGGGATAGGCAGGAGCCTCACAGGAGAGGGATCCTGGGTGATGAGAGCGCTCAGTGCGGGCCAGGCAAGAGACGACAGCTGGGAAGAGAACTGCTTGACTGAGAGCTCCGGAGCCCCCTTGCCACCCTCCTCAGTGGAGCGGCCCTCGAGGAGACCCTCAGAGCCTCTGTGCCATGGGGGAGGCTGAACGCCACCAGGAGAGCCACTCTGAAAGCGAGTGGGGGTCTGTGGCTGGCTGCAGGAGCTCAGAAACTGAGCTTGAAGTGCACCCCTTGCCAAGTGGTGGAGTTCTGGGGTCTGTTAGGTAATGCTGAGGGTGTCTTGCTTGCTTGCTTCCTTGCTTGTTTGTTTGTTTATACTGGGGACTGAACCCGGGGCTTTTGCACTGACTGCTTCGTAGCTCTTTAAAAAAAAATTTTTTTTTTTTTTTTTAAATGGAAGGTCTTGCTAAGTGGCTAAATTGCCCAGGCTGGGCTTGAACTTGCAATCCTCCTGCCTCAGCATCCCAGATGCTGCAATTATTGGCATGCTCTACCACATTCAGCTAGGGTTGGCTCTTTAGGGTTGGATTAGGCCAGAAAACTGGCCCGTTTGCCAGGTGGGCTGTGGGCTTAGCAGAGCTACTTCCCCTTGCAGGGATGGGTTCCTGTGGGACTTTTGACAGCACCAGCTAAATGGTCTTCATTTTGTTCCCTTCTTTCTGCTTCTCTTTTTTCCTACTCCTTTTTCTTCTTCCTCCTCTTCTTTCCTTTCCTTTCCTTTTCCCTCTCTTTCTTTCTTTCTCTTTTTTCCTTCCTAACTTCCTTCCTTCCTTCCTAACTTCCTTCCTTACCCCCCCTCCTTCCCTCCCTCCCTCCCTTCCTTCCTTCTCTCTCTCTTTTTTTCTTTCTTTCTTGTTTCCAGTGCAACATTCTTCCCCAGCACCACTGCCTGCGTTCCTGGTGGCTGGAGGAAGCCTGGCCTTCGGATCGCTCCTCTGCATTGGCCTCATCCTGAGGT